GCCCTCGTGTAGCTTTGCGCGAAATTCCAAAAACAAACAAACTTAAGCCAAAAATGTAAGGTTTGAATAAAATTCTATTTACTAGTGTGAATAGTCTTTTTTTTTTTTTTGTCAACCAGTTTATTAATCACATTTTATGCACTTTTTCTGGTACAATACATTGTTTGAAATTACGTAATATTGTGGCATGTTCCGAATCACTGGTTGAAATTTTAATCCCAGTTTTAAGTCGTTTTTTGTTTGACCTTGAAAAAACATGTCCGCCAATATTATTATACCTTGGTACACAACACTAGGTAAAATATATTTATAGATTAAACTTAATACAGCGCTTACACTATTTAATACCTTCTTAAGATTTCGCTCCATACTACAACTTCTAGTACTATTACAACAAACACGATAAGGATGTAACGCAGTTGATTGCTGGCGCCGCTAGTTGTATAACTGTGTCGAAAACAACCTCAATCAGAAGCCGATAGATAAGAAAATCAACTGCTAAGCCTAATAAATCATTCTAAGCTGTATATTTGCACTTTTTTTAGTTTTCGATAGTTACCACAAGGCTATCTCTCCAGGTTTGACAGTATAAAATATTTATAATATGACATTTTGATTCATAAATGTGAGATTGAATAACTGGAATTGTACAATTGAATTTAGCGAACTCTCAAAAGCTAAATTCTCAGTTTTAGCATAGGCAATTTATTAAATGTTTAGCAACTTTACATGTGATAGATGATTAATTTAGTTAACAATTAACTGACAAGAATCACGATTAACTCTCTGAAAACAAAGCATCTTGAATGCTTTTATGCAATATCTGTTTTTATCAATGATGTGCACAGGGGGTGGGTGGCTGGATGCATTTACCCTATGTGTACCAGAGGCAACATACAGTCCCCGTGTTCTCTTCATAATGGTGATGTTAATATCAAGTAAATTTGAGAGAGTAGGCCTAGAGAGTTCTAAATTTTACGTCAAAGTTTTTCTAGAGCGTTCGAAGGTCGTGTCACTATGCAGAAACATGTATCTGTTGGCATAGAGGTTGTGCCACAATAGAGGCCAATGCCGCCTCGTCACTATACAGACACTTATATCTGCTTACACAATAGGCCGCTTTTTGATGCTGTGTCCTTGTTACTATACATACAGCTGTATCTCTTGATACAGCGGCTGTGCCACAATACAGACTCCTATATACGTTCACACAAAGGATATGTCACGATACAAACATCTGTAAGGGTTCGCACAGTTGTCATTTTAAAGTTTATAAATAAGTATTTTTGTCGACAGAGGGTTTGTGTCACTATCTACATTCCCATACTTTTAAAATAAGCCACTTTATTATTCATCCACCCATAGTCGTTGATACCTAACTTGTATATATTGTTACGTCTCCGTTCGTTAGTTAATTTTCCGTAACTTCGTTCCAACGAAACTTTAGCGAGACAAGTCTTTTCTTAAATAAAACTGGTTTATTCTTTCTGAATATAACTTTGCGATACACTTAATTTCAACAGTCGCGCTATAACAAACGCTATAATAACGAACGTCTCACGTCCTCAACTTCAATTACACTCTCTGACTGCAGTTCAATTACTCACTGTCTCCCTGTCGCTTCGTGGCCAGTCTTATATATACAAGACTACACTATATCTAGTAATATCCCGATAATTCACGAAGGTTCGATAATGACGTGGCGTGATACTAGTCACGCGACCTCGATGTCGTAACAATATAAACAGTATCGTGTAGCAAATACCACAATGGTTGTGTTAATGTATGAGCACTTGCCTTTCTTGGCACAAAGGATGTATCAGTGTTTTCAACAATATAAAAAGGGGTTGAACCTGTTGATACAAAGGTTGTGTGAATGTATAATCACGTGATCATATGAAACTGAGTTATTTATTGCATGAGCACTAGTAAATCTTTTGGGACAGAGGTTGAAAGTAAAATAACTTTATGCAGGAGCGAATTGATGTCAGATGGGGCCTGGAGCAGTAAAATAACATTCCCACTAATAAATACAAATTTTATAGTTTCTTTTATTTGGGGTTCCCCAAGTCGTCGGGACCCTGGTGCAGCTTCTTCTTCTGCCCCACCTTTAATGTGGCCTTGATTTATGTAATTTTGTGTGCATTCCATGTAAATAATTAGTATTTTGATAATTGAATTATTTTAACGTTCATGTGACACCAAAAAATATCATTACTCTTTTTTTTGCTTTTTTACAAAAAAATAACAGTAAAACCTATATACTCGCTTCTCAAACCTAAAAGGAGAGACACGTTAAGAATTTTTATGTTAAGTCTCTTTTAGAAAGTAAATCAAGAATCCAGTATGAGAGAAACAACTTGATTTTGTAGCCAAAAAACCGAGTAGTTAGGCCCAAGTCCAGTATGACTGTATAGTCTATAAACTGTGTAGCTAGGTCTGAATCCAGTATTGTTTGGGAAAGTGAAATATTTTTTTTACAAATGCTTACTAAACCAGTTATTCAAATCTAATACACTGACTCTTTGTCTTTGTTTTAATTGGGCCATCATAACAATAAAGTTTTGGTCGGTGATGCGACAATTTTCAAGTACACATTTCGGAATGAACAAATACAAACTATTTTCAAAAATTCCTACTGTAAACTGTGATCGTTTTAAAGTTCTTATCTCTATTAAGAAAACTCAAATTAATTTAAATAATCGTATGTTGCCGTTTAATATGACAACTTTATCCCTACCATTTATTGAATGTGTATTGGAAGTATTTATATTGTTACGACAGCGGAGGTCACGTGACCCTAGTAACACGTCATATTCTCGAAGCTTCGTGAATCCTCGGGAGGTTACTAGATGTACGGTATTCTTTTATATAAGACGGCCAAGAAGTAACGGCAACAATATAATGGAAAGTGAACTGCGGACAGAGAGAGAGTATTGTTGAGTCGAGCACGTGAGACGTTTGTTGTGAATTATAGCGTTTGTTATAGCGCGACTGTTGAAATTAAGTGTATTGCAAAGTTGTATTCAGAAAGAATAAACCAGTTTTATTTAAGAAAGGACTTGTGTCGCTAAAGTTTCTCCGGAAATAATTTTTACGGAAAATTATCTAACGACCGGAAGCGTAAAAATATTGTTCAAATACGTTTTTGTACTTTTAAGTTTAATATTGAAGTGTTTTTGCCATAAAAACGAAAATATGCCTTCAGTAATTTTAAAGTTATTATTTAAACAATACATAATATTAGTCGAAATGGAAGTTTCAGACTAATAAAGTAAATAAATAATAATGGTTGGAGACGGCTTGAATGGGTAATGAAGAAAAACTTTAATATAAATTTAACATAACAGCAAATGTACAACGTTTCGACAAGATTTT